CTGATTGGTTACTGAAGTGAACCGGAAGCCAGTCTGTCCACAGAACACGTAAAAACGGGAACATAATTTATTTTTGACTCTACCACTTTGCCATACGAGCGTGCTAATATCCAACGAAAATGTGACCTCGCACTTTCGACACCTATCTTGGCCCAAATCGTAAAATCTTTCTGTTTCTTTTAACCATGCAGAAGAATGTAAAAGGTTTTTGGTTCTGTTTTGATAATCGGCCGATGACAAACCGTCAAGTTTCCTAAATGGTCAACCAAGGTAAGTGTTTCAGGCCTTTTTGTATTGTTTTACTCGTCAGTTGACAATATTTACAGTCCGCTGTAACAGCACTTTAATCCTTATGTTTTCGTTTTGTTTTTTTAAGTTGTTTTGGCGGTTGGTTTGGGGCTGGTCGCTGGATTTGTCGTCGTAATTATCTACTTCATGGTACAGTTTATTCGCAACCGTTCTGTGAACAACGAGTATAAATATAAAAAGCTGACTTCTGATCCGGCTTATGGGTCTCGAGCAGTTATCAAACAGGACATTCCACCGTTCTATATTCCACAGTCTGTTCCCGTACAACTCCAGCAACCGATAAGGAGTGAGAGATCGGGAAGTATTTCAAAGGATGACTATCGAAATGGACACTCACTTCTGTCGGCGACAGTTCACAGCGTCAATGTAAAAGGCAAAGCGGAAGATCGCGGGACGGGAATTCAACTGAACGCTATCAACACAGGTCCTCTCAGTCCGCCGCTCACTCCACGATCCCTAAAACCTCCCCGTAAAATTTCGCCGACGAAAAAGCAACTGCCCCAGAAAGAAAATCTCTCACTCCCTCAGCATAGAAAGGTCGCGGTTTACAAGAAATTTCCCGACAGCAATTTGGGAAAATTGGAGTTTTCCCTTTACTACGATCAATCGTTTCGTTTGTTGCAGATTTACGTTATCCGCGGGATAAAAATCGCGAGTTCCGAGGACAATGTCCCACCCGATGTCTTAGTAATTGCATCGTTGAGTTTTAGTAAGAATCAAATTTGGGAGCAGAAAACTCGAATGGTGAAGAATTCAAATGATCCGCAATTCAATGAAAAATTGGAAGCGCACGGGATAACCTCAGCAAAACTTCATGAAAGTACGTTACGCTTTCAGCTCTTCAATGATGGCGCCAATACAATAATTGGGGAAGTTGAATACTCACTAAAGGAACTTCCTGCGAACAAGTTAACAAGTCAAATACTTCCTCTCGTTCCAGTGGAAATAGATGAAACTTACTGCAATATTGAGGTACGTGCACTTAATAACAACATCTTATTTTCTTTCATTGCGTTACTATTTCGTGTCACTTTGTTTATTTCTTTTCTTTTCTCATGGTCGCTTCGAATCAAAATGATTGGTAAAGTTACAAAATCTCTATAAGTAGAGAATATGAGCTTTAGGAAACCAGATATCAGAAACAACTCAGAGGAATCTTAATTAATTGAAGTAAAAGTGTTTTAACGGACCCAAATGCAAAACAGTCAAACTTTCCTCGTTCCAATCTATTCAAACTTCACAAAAAGTTTCTCGCTTCAGTGCGCACTTTATATTTTCAGTGTCACAAAGGTTTTTTTTCCTGATCATAAATCGTATATAAATCTATCTTTTTATCTTTTAAAGGCCCCTTTTTTTACTTCATATTCATCATTTTAAAAGGCATTTTCACCAACATAAAATTTTAACTTTTTTCGAGTGAAAAAAAAATCACTGAAGACATATTTCATGGGTAAAAATAGAGAGACATTCGGAAATTCGAGTTCCTATAGGACAATGAAACACGTCAGAAAGTCAACAAACGTGACGCAAATACATTATTTTTCCTGCTTGCTGGAAAAATACACTACAGTTCGAAAAATTAGACAAATTAGGTAAACCCTGAAATGATGAGAGCTCGTAGTTTCAAGCACGTAGTTTCACATCCTTGCGTCTCGTTTATATCTGTTTATCAGTGTACATATATCTCATGTATAAGGGTTAGGAAACATTTGGAGCTTAGTTTTGCCTAATTAAATCAAACAATTCCAGAACGAGCCGCTAGAGGGGACTTTAAATCTGAAAACGTCTTTATTTATTTGTTATTTTTGTAAACTATCCGAGAATGCACTCGATCTCTCATCGTCAAATACCAGATTACCGCACTAAAGGCGTTTTTGTAAACGCCCTAAAGGTGGTGAACGATGAAACTGGCTAACTTCAATTCACAAAGTCCATGCAGCTAAAATACGCATGATGAGGCCATGAGTCGTGTAATTGAAACGGTAAAACCCTCATCACTGTAACATGTTTCATTTACGCTCAGTTTACAAAAATAAAAATGCCAGTTTATTGCTCTTTAAGAGCTTTGAGATAGAAGGGTATCATTTTTGACATTTCAGGGCATAGCTTTTTAGCTAGGCGTAACTCGCAAATTCCTGTGTATCAAAGAAACATTCTATGATTTGGTATTCGGTTTCATTGTAAGTAAGTTTGTAATTAATTATCTACATTTTTACACTTTTTGTGGTTTTTGTTTCATCATTCTGCACTGTTTGACATGGTCATGGTTACTGCACGTTCCCAAGTGACTAAAAAAAAACAAACAAAGAAAAACAAAGAGATTTTCGATTGTTTTGACGAGGTAAGGTTACTCAAAAAGTTCAAGTGAAAGCCATTTGCTGATAGACAGAATTCCAACACGTTTTTTAATGCACAGAAGAGCAAAGAAGTCAAAGTAGCAGTATTCCAGCCACAATGATTACTAATGATCTCTATTTAAAGACAAAAGGGCTAGGTGTAATTACATGTGATGGGGCTCTTTTTCGTTTTACGTCACTGTAGAGTTCCAAGGTTTGCATCGTGGCTTCTAGACAACTGAAAATATTGGCAGTCTGAAATGGGTTTTGCCGTTTAATGTACTTGTTCTTTGTAACTGACACTTCAAAACTCAAAGACTTCCACGTGTCACTCGTTTTTAAAGCAACACTTTAACCAACTTAAACCATAGAGTGAATCAATATTTCTTTTTGCAGACCGTTTGGAGTCCACAACTCTCTTGACGTCGAAATTCTATAGTAACCTAATACGAAAAAGAACCCCATCCCGAAAGAGAATTATTTGACAATTCAGCCCAAAAACTTGCACACTAATAGCGTCCTTCTCCTGAGAGTCTTCAGTATAATCGATGTAATAATATCTCTGATTGGTAGATACTTGAACGCAAGAATTCGTTACCAGGCATCAGCCAATCAGACATAAGCAAACGCGACGGAAATGGCTTCTGCTTGATACACACTGTAAATTCTCAGAACAGATTGCCATAGAAACATAACACAGCTGTTTGGAGAATTGATTCCTTGAGCTAACTTCTTACTGGAGTCTTCCTTTCGTGCCATGCGTGTACAATCTGCTGCTAGTTTAGTAAACACTCCTTCTTTATACATATATATAAGAACATTGTTTTTCCAGACCAGGGTGAATTTTCTTGTTTTTCTGCCGATTCTAGGCTGAAAATACTCTCACTTTAGTTATAGCCTATGAGATTTCCGTTTTAGAATGTATCTTGGTATCATTTACAAGTGTTTGGTGTCTAGATGGTGTTAAATTTTGCAGCCAGACTGCAGGCAAAAAAGCCTGTTATGACACATCGCAAGAGACCACCAGGGCTGTTTTTGGGCTAGTTTTGCCGTTTAGAGAAAGGAGGAATTTTATATTGTTTGTTAAAAACATATAATTGTATTGTATCTCAGCCTCATTCTTAAAATTTCGCAAATTTCAGCGTCGATATTCTTATGGCACAAGAGTGTAACAGGGCTATAAAGTAACTAATGATATTTTCAACACGACTTGTTTTGCAGGAGGCAATTCCAGTTTCACCCTCAGAACTTGGTGAACTGTCGATATCATTGTGTCACAACCCAACGGATCAAAAACTTACAGTCAAACTAAACTGCGCTAGAGCTTTACAACCAATTACGAAGGATGGGAGACTAAGTAAGTATTTTTTATGCAACGTATACTTTGAATGAGATCGGCTCTTACTTGGTGTAAAAGACACAGCGGACGTAAACCAATAGAGAGCAAAAGTACAAAAGAACAAGGAAACAATGAAAACAATAGGTTGGTGAGGCGGTGCTTTTTTGTGACGTGTTCTGTGTCTTCTACACCAAGAAGGAGTCCACAGATCTGAGAAAGGAAATGCATAAGAGTAAGACAATTAGGCCGGAGTAGTTATGTTTTGACTTTTCTGGGAAAACAATAACGTCATTTTCTTTCTAACTAAAATAAGACATTTTGAACAGAACATGATCTACGAGAAGCGAATAAACCCATTTCAGGGTTATTTTTGTTCTTCCACGGTCTCGAGACTAAAATATCTTTTGAATAGTCCCAATTTGTCTTGTACGTGTTGTCCCTCAGTATTTTGTTCTGTTGTCAGGACAAGTCCACTACTCCCGAGCAGAGAGACGTTAGAGTAAAATGTCAACAATTTGCCCCAGCCAGCGTTCGGAGAAAGACATCTCATTGCTGAGTCAACTGAAGCATTAAAATCAGTAGCCTACTTCTCACAAATTATAGATTAAAGAAAGTTCGTAATTCCATATTATGTTGCGAAATACCACCAAAGATACAAATGAATTGGATAACATGCATGATTCTACCAAGCAAAATAGAACAAGTATTTGGAGGAAAGGAGAGGATTACAAGGCTGGAAATGAAGTATAATTCAGGGGATCAAGTTTGATTTTGCGAAAGGATGTCGAGAAATGAAAACAGCCATTATGGTGAAAGTTTTACTCTTGTGGTCACTATTTTCTTTTGGAGGGTGGGAGGGTGGGTGGGGGCCAAGGGCTTATAAGCGGGAGGGCTTATAAGCGGCAGTTCATTAATCGATTTACCCGCTTTTTCAGATCCTTTTGTTAAACTCGAGGTTACCTTCTGTGGAAGAAAGCTGAGCAGTCGAACAACAAAGACCGCGCATAACACTTTGACACCAAACTTCAGCGAAGTGTTTGTGTTCGACATGCACTCGGACAAACTGCCGCAGGTCACGCTCATGTTCAAAGTTAAGCATCGAGGAAGAATGCGTGACGTATCGATAGGCACGGTGCATCTTGGGTATTGCGTGAATGTCGAGAGCGAGTACAAGCACTGGGAACAAGTAATGGAAAAGCCACACCTTGAAATAGAACAGTGGCATCCAATTCAGGATTATTTTGTCGAATGAATTGTTTTCTTTACGTTTCGTGCTTTAAAGTTGTAAATAGTGATGTTAGCGCAAAACCCGGCAAATTTGCAATCTGATTGGCTTCGCAGGCACCTAGCACTGACTGACAGTCGGTATTCGGAGCCGGAGCGCGGGGGTTTTTTATGTATCATTGCCAAAAAGAATGGTGTTCTATGTTAAATATATCAGCGAACTTGCTTCTTTCAAAACAATTAGAACAAGTAGTCACAGGTTGCACAATGAGAGATTTGTAGAGGCCAGTGAGCTGCATTGTGTATCATACTTTCCCGGGCCGGGGTTTAAAAGGTAAAGTTTTGTGTGGAAATACCATTTACCCTAGTTAGTTATTTAAAGGTAAGAATTTGGCGGCTTATGCCTTCGCTGAGCAGTTTATACAAAACAGTGGTTAGCGTTATTTATGAGCTACTGAAGATAAAATATGAAGAAAGATGTAGTGTTTTCTCGTTTTGTCAAGAACAAATAGTCGACTTCGGCAATACATATTTAATAGTTAGTAATTTCAGAGAAGATTTACAGTGCTATTTAGAAATTAAAGAGCTGTATATAAGCCCTGGTTGTTTTGTATCAAACGAAGAAATGACGGTTTTCTGTCACGTTACTTATACAGTTAAAAATCCATCGGTCTTTTTTATTATCTGTTTTAAGCGGTCTATTGAGATGAGTGGCTTCTTATCTCCTTCTGACCAACTTAAGACGCTTCACGAATGTTTACTTGCATCAGCTCACATCTGCATATTTAAAAAAAGACCTGCAAAAAGGTACTCGGGGAAAAAAAAACAACTTACAACCTTGTCAACGTTTTAGTGATCCAGGGCAATGTTAATAATCATTACTGCATTACACCTATTGTCTGATTATAAGACCACCTTTAACTACCTATTTAAAAAATGCGTAGCTTCTCTGTAGCTCTTCGAAGGCACTATTAGAAATTCTTCATTTATACCAGCGTTTTGGCTTGGCTTTCTTCCGCGCTTTGTTATGATAAAGAAATCATTCGTCATGCCAGTCAAAGACTGAGGTGATCGTTTCCTTCCCTCCCATGACTTCGCTGTCTGGCCCCTGATAGAACATTTCCTCTCCAAAGACCCTTGTACCAATGGGACGCAGGACCCGTTTTAGGTAACTATGTGCGTATTTTCCCCTGGCTCCTAGTATCTGAGGGGCCCAGTTATAAAAGCTCTTTAGAGGGGCCATAAGAGAGTCAGCCAAATCATGGTCCGCAATGTCAGCATAACACGACACCAAGACTCCATCCACTATCATGGTCCCTTCCTGGGTAACTGGCGCAAAGGCCCCCTGCCTTTCAACTGTCGAGACCGCTACCACCATCTCAGGAATGGGCCCCCGGCACTGTGGAGCCTGGACGACAATGCGGTCCCCGGGTTTGATTTGGGACGCATGCACTGAGCGGGAGGTATGTTCTCCACGGGGACCTCGCAAAAATTCAATTTTGAAAATGAGATGAGCTTCGCTGATGGTGAGTTGGGTTTTGCTTTCAGTCGTGATGTTAATAAATTGGCCTGGAGATTATTAGAGGAAGAAAAGAATTAGACAAAGTAAAATCATAAGAAGGGAAATAAGTGTACTCAGGTTAAAGCGAGAGAGGCGCGGAGGATTTCTTTTGAACATCAAAATAGCGATCGCGGAATTTAGGGCTGACATCTTTTCCACTGTCAGCATAGGAAGACTAGCTCCTCCCTAGTTCCCTTCTCCTTCCTCCTACAAAAGATACCGGCTATCTTGTGGGTTAAAATTAACGAATTATATACAGCACTGGTGTCTGACATCGAGAGAGAACAATGTTGATACTTAACAAGGCCTCTCAGCTGGCGCCTTCTTGGGCCTGGAAAAATCAAGCTAGCTTTTTGGAGGGGGGGGGGTGGGTGGGGGGCGTTTACATTTCTCAGACAGGTATTTTGGGGTGCAATTACGGACTAAATGAACGAAGTCTATTCAAGTCAGTAACATCTTACCTTTGTAGTCAGGTTCTTGCTCCAGGAACGTAATGACAGGACTGAACACAATCTGACCTTTCTTAGTGACTGTCTTTACCGTGTCACCGATGGCCAGGTCGCTGATGGGAATCTTCTTTCCAGATCTGAGTTCAACTTGTGACTTGGACGGGAAGCAGGTCGATCCACCAGACTGCTGTACATTTACATTGGTTACACATCCAGCTGAAGTGTTAGAAAAAACACAGATGTTTGTATAAGTAGTTATAACTTTGATCATCAGGGGTCTTGAAAGAAATTTTATTGTTAGAGGTCCAAGTTTTTGGTGTACCTTCGGAAAATCAGTTGGTAGGTGGTGTTACGAGAAATTTCCAATCTCTATACTCTGTGTTGTGTATAATATTTCCCTCTTATTCTCTCTTTTAACTAAACTAGATAATACGGTTATAATACTGAAGGGCCACTTGGCTTGTATGAAGACTTTACCTCTTTTTTATGATACTGTTAAAGTAATAGTAGCTCGCCCAGAATAGCGTGGCTAGCTGCGAGCTACTAAGGCTTGTAAAGGAAGTTTTGTAATAATAAAGTACTGTTACTGTTAAATGGTGGTGCGAGGTGGTGTTACCAAGAATTCGGTATTCTTTTTGCTAAAATTTGCATGCGTTCTACAAATTCAGCCAGTGAACGAACTGTGCTGGAATTTTACTTTTTCATTCAATCTTGACGGACCCTTTAATAAGACTGATCTTTATATGAACCTTCAAGGATCATATAAGAGAAACGTAAGACGTCATAATAACGAAATAAAATGACTGATAGCACCAAATCTGCGCAGGAAGATTAGAGATGTTTAGAGAGCTCTCTGCTCTGTTTTGCGTCACCCTGTTACTCGCTCTCGATTCTCCTTTCTTTCCAATTTTTTCTCTCCAATAATTCTTACAATAACTCATTATTCATTCAGCAATTCATACCTGTAGGAGCGGCCCACAAATGAGCGGACTGGAAATACTTAGGACCTTTCCCCTGATGAACCCCGTTCCCATTCCACAGCAGAACACCGCAATCTTCACTTGCCTCGCTGCCACTGACTTTGAAGGACATTATTCCAACTTTGCCACTGAAATCTTTCGTCTTGTTAGACTGGTCGGGTTCTCCATACATTTTCTTCAGATAGTTTAAAAGTTCATCTCGTTCATGAAAGTAAAAGTAGTTTTTCAAGCCTTGCTGGCTCCCAGGCTCCTCGGTTGTGACATTTAACACGGCACTCATGCGCAGTATGCATGTGGCATTGTCCGGTAACTTACGCTTGTTAAGGTCTTTAAAAAGGTACTGCTTCACGTCCTGGTCGCTATAAAGTCCGCCATAATCGATGTTACCAAGATACATCTCTTTAAGAACTGAGAACTGTGGCAACATTTCTGTGGAAAGGGTTTGCACAAAGGTTAAAAGAGTGCTAGTTGTTGTCAAACGGGTGAACTGGTTAGGAACCACTTTTTTGGGGGACATATCGCCCAGTAAGAACTGTTCACAGACTTATTAATGAGTTAAACCACGGAATCATGGAAATAAACAAATCAGCAAAACTTGCTTAATTCAGAAAATTCTGGAAACCCAATGCTGTGACGCAATTCATCGTCAATAAGAAAACACTTGGTTATTCGGACATTTTCCGTTTCCATAGATAGTCTGAAAATATATGATGACCGCCTTCGGAAAATGTAGCTCCCACTTCCAACTTTTAACTTCTCCTCCCGTTCTCAAGTCCCTAATCCCTATGACTTGGAATCCGGCCCAACTTTGTGCCAACAAAAATGAAAAACTGATAAAAAAAGAGCAATATCTGGAAACACAGGTTCGAATTTTGATGCTGATGCTAAATATCTCTCAAACCGGGTTCGATTTTGTTCAAGATGGATTTGCACTGTCGCATGATTTTATGCCTGTAAAAAAAGGAAAGCGTAAAGAAACCTTCAATCAGGGAAAAACGCATAAAATAACACGACAGAGAAAATCCATTCCATGCTCGACTGGCGCTTCAAATCGATCGGGTGCCGCTGGCGTAGCCTGTATGGAGACGTCCAATCTTTTTACGATTTTAAGAAGGAAATCCGTACATCTGCTTACATCTAGAGGCAGACGCCGACGCCATTGTGGAGCGTCTCAATTTGTTAAAGCTGTTGTTGCCTGTGGCCATAAAATAGCAAACCACACTGAGAAGAGATCTTTTGGTGGCGTGATATAACAGGCGAGAAAACGGAATGCTTTGGCAAGATAGAAGCATGTTTAACATTCATTGTAATTTTCTTCGGGCAGGAATGGCAGCATAGATGCGCGTTGGAAAAACAATGGACTCGCCGCTGCAACTTCTCCTGAAATTTTTGAAGCTTGTAAGTCCAACGTGAAATTGAAAAGAAAAATGTTACAAAAAGTTCCATTTCAGTCAAAAAATTACTGAATTAAAACAAAAACCATCACAAATTTAGTTCAGATCGTCTTTTTTTTCAAAAAAGTTCAGGTATTGCAGCTCAGGATGAAAAACACGTTCTTGACATACAATTTAGCAGCCGGACCAATCGTCTCAAGGATTTTTATTCGCTATCTCACGGCATCCTTGGTCTTTTCTGTGCATGAACTGTCTCGAAATCTCATAAACACATTGCCAGATTACAAGGAAGGCCTTGCAGTGTCGCGTGATATTTTTATTGAACCCCGGTGCGGATCAACAAGACACTAAGCTCTATGCGGCTTCCAACGCGTAAATGAAACTAGGCATATCAAACCGTAAAATACAACACAGATATAATGAAGTAATACTTACTTGAAAAAGCCACAGGAATAACTAATACCAGCAGTATCATTATCACCTGCTTCATGGTGGGCTTTGAACTGCAAAGTCTTTTTTTCTAGGTCAGGGAAGAAACACGTTTGAGCAGGGAAGTTACCTTAGTGGTGCTTAATTGAGCATCGAAGGCTTGCAGTACTGTCCAAGGGTGAACGCGCATCAATTATTTAAGATTGTCAATTTGTTTCGTATGGTTCCCCTTCGCGACACAGGTGGCCCTATTCAGCATTGACACTCCGACTCGAAAGTTTTGCATTTAGATGGAAGTGGTTTTGGCAGGGATACAAAACGTTTCACCAAGTCATCGCCACTAAAAATGCAGTCAAAAATCGTTGAAATAAAATTAAGCTTTTCTCGATATTTTAAGGCGGACCAAACCACTGACCCAATCAGTTGCCACAAGGATGCTTGTTAATTCAAACCCAATTTTCCTCGATCTCCATGACGGAACAAGACTGCTACACGCACTTTACATTAGCAAGCAGAGTAACCCAGAGAGGATAACCCGAGGGCTGTGAAAAAGACACGGTCATGGAGGATTGCTTTGTATTATTTAAATTGAAACATGTACACTAAACTAAGCCAGTATTCCCTATCAGCGTCTTGGACGAGAGCCAGGGGTTTATCGAAAAACTCGTTGAAATTTTGGAACACTTCACTGCGGTTCCTAAAAAATTAACCGCTAGGAACGACCCAAAGAGGCCTGTTTTGGCAATCCTTCACTTGCGATTTTTTGCATAACTAAATATACCGTTTATTTCGAGAAGATGGAACATGCCCCAATTTGCCATGCAGGTGTTTTATGAGCGACCTCGGAAATCATGTTGTGGTTATTTAACTAATATAAAAGCAATACTGTGCTTTGGACCGAAGAATATCGAGCGTTTTGTCACTTGCGACCCTCGCAAGCCATATACAAAATACTGTAGAAGTGATTCGGTCATTTTGACTGTAAAATGGTCAACACTTGCAGAACACCAGGCGTTGGCGTCTAAGACACACCTTATCTTACTAAGCAACAGTGTTTCAAAAATACGTTTCCCGGCTGTATTACCAAAGCGACCAACCACTTAGAAACAAAAACAATTCGCTTGGTTTTAATATATTTTTATTAAGTGGTCTCTTCTTGAGGCAATTACAGAAAGGACCAAACGGTCTACAGCTTTAACTGCTCACAAAGTAAACATAAGATCTTTTTGGAAAAGAAAAATATTTCTTTATAGCGTCGTTGTTAGCAGGTGAAAGCAACCGGTTATTTTCACTTGTTTGAAGTGAATCAGTAGGCAAAAAGAACTGGGTCCTTTCGCAAGCCACGTCGTTAGTAAGTCTATGAAACCTTACTCAAACCAATCGTACCTGAAATAATATTGTCATAATGTTTCATACAAAAAATGATAGCATGAAAAATTCTCCAAACCGACTCATTCTTTTAAATGTTATAGGTGTAGTTCGGAGAATTCAGTGGCACATCATGATGTCTCCAAATACTTGACAATATTTTTTACTCTAGTTACTGATCTACTGTATTGTGTTGTAACTGCAAGGAGAAATAAGACGTTGATCACTGTGGTTCACCACACAACGCGCAGTAAGGTGAAGCGTGCCGTGAAAATGCTACGAACGAAACTTAAGGTTTATTAAATGGCGAGACCTCTACGTGGAAAAGCTACATGAATATGAAAAGCAATACAGTTGACAAAATGGTTACAATATAGAATAAAAAGATCATGTTCGTACAATACAAAATCTGCACCTAAAAAATAAATTGTGACTTCACAAATATAACTTATTCAAGAATCAAGCCTTAGCTTGCTACATTACAATATTTACAAAGTCGCTGGACTCGGTAAATCTCTGTCACAGACAGGGCCTCGAGTTTATGGTTCATTCATGATTGCTCATCCATTTTTCACGGATTTTCTCCAGACTACAGTTTCATTTCCATGTACAATGGAGCATTACTTCCACAAAGTTATGGACATGATCAGCGATCAGCCGAGTTGATCGATCTCAGTCTGACAGCGACACCAGTGCTTGAACTGTCTTGGGATTGTTTTATACCTCAATGATCGCAGCCAGAAAATGAGTGTCAGCGCTAACCCATTTTCCAGGGCTGTCTTCTTCATGAACAAACATGAGTGATTCTTCCTTTAAAGTCCAGGGTGAGCATACACCGGTTTTGCCATGACAAAAACTGTAGTACTTAGAGCTCTGTCGGATTCTTGTCACAACCATATAATGGTGTTCACCGAGATAACTTGTCTCTTTACTGACAATGACTGGGGAGCCCCTCTGAAGAAGGTTAATTATCAAGTCTGTCCAAGGGCCATTCTTCCCTTTATGATCTCCTCGGTGAATAACCTTGAGCTCTCGCCCCAGGAATGTCTTGATTCGCGTCATTTGAGCAGGAGAGGTTACTCCTCTACCGTGAGGCGAACAATGTGATCCAAGCTTGTGAAAGATTCGGCGTGTCACGTTCTCCACCGATGTGTCCATTGTTAAAGGCAGATGTGTGGGCAAACCTACAATATGACTTATTGATCTAAGAAAGAGAAGATTTACATTCAAATTCAATTAAATTGTAGTACTTTTCCAACACAAGATTCTCAGTTAAATAAAATAATGAAAATTTTTACTGAGTAGCTCACAGAATAAGTCACAGCACGTAAGAAAATCCATAACAAGACAGAACATAACGCAGTTTCGCCAAAATTGACACATCAAAACTTGATTTAAAGCAAAGATGGCGGTGTAATTGACCAATGACTCGTTTGTAACCTGTTTTCTACCAATCACGCCAAAGGGTCATTCAGCTGCAATATCAACTGTGAATTGTACTTCTCCCGAGCTAGCCATTGGCCTATTGCTTTACAAGGAGTTCTAATGTTCTTGATGACTTACCTCTGAGACAACACCGAGATAACTTTAGTTTTAGTTTAACGACCACCACTCGAAATCCACCCTAAATTACGACAAATACTTACGGGTATCTTGATTTGGAAGTCCTCGCCGCCATGTTGTCATAGTAACCGAGTATTTTTGTCCAGGCCACTGGACCCGAGCCCGACATGCATTGGCCGTTTTGGGGCTGGCGGTACCTTGGAAACAACTCTTCGTGAGGAATCCTGAAATATTCGTCAGACAAAGCGCGCCGATTTCTGCTACTTCTGAGGATAATGCCGTAGTTAATGATCATATCTCGAGCCCCGCGGGTTCGCAGCTCTACTTTGAAGCGTATTTCTCTTCCTTCAAGATGTCTTCGCACGAAACTCTCATCTGCATCGACTTTCACTTTGATGAAGCGATCACCCATCTTTGTCAGTTTGAAGAAACGTTTGCTAACCATTGTCATGTCCAGGTAACCTTCTCCTTCACAAACGCCACACAACACCCGGCAAAGTCGTTTCTGCCAATGTTTCTTCCAGTTCTTTGTCTTCTTCATGTCACCGTCCCGAAGTCCAACAAACTTGATACGGACTTCACGGAACCCTTGTCCGAGTGGAATCCGGACCGAGTCGCCCGGACGGAGTCCCAATTCCGCCTTGAACCCATCTTCAGTCTCTTCCACTTGGAAATTAAATTCCGTTTCCAGGCTGGTTGGTTTTGCCGTTGGCTCAGTTGCTAACGGCTTAGCTGGTGTTGTGAGTTGCGGTCTTACACCTTAAACAAATTGTGACAAGTATTTAGATTACAATAGGGTCCGAAGCATGCACGAGCGAAACAAAAAGAAAAACACCCTCGCATACGACTCAAAACGCACTATTAGAAGATGACGATGAATTCACCAATACAATGTCTGTTACTGCAATAAACGTTTTAACAATCAAGTAAACACTCAAGTTGCGTTCATCACAGTCAGAAAGAAGCCTTTTGATAACGAAACCCAAGTCTTAGCTCTCATGTTATATAGCCTGCAAGCACGTTTAATATTGTTCCCGGAGTCCTAAAACCCATTAGGGACCCTTATACACGTCATTTACCTGTCTTCATCGACAGCCACTGGAACCTATTCCACTCTGGCATCTTTTGAACTCGTTCAGCCAACTCGTCCCATTCTTTTTTCAAGCCCGGTAAAGCACGGGTAACTTGTTTGTCCAAATTCCTCCAGTTAATATTCTGTGTGATAGATCATCACACTAGTTACCAACAATCTTTATTACATGGTAAGATTAATATATAGTCACCCCTAACACCTTTTTATCTTGTCATTGGCAAGCAGACGGGTGACGTAAACACAGAAAATAATTAACCAAGAGATATGGTCTTGATTATGTATTACCAAATTTTCAGAATTAACAACAAAAGCAGTGAGAATTAATATTTCACGCTGAAGACGAGACTTGCCACTGATTAGTTGGCTAGTAGTCATCACAGTCCGACTTTGGGTTGAATAGAATAGAGTGAAATAGAATAGAGTGAAATAGTATTGTATGCCTTTCAAATAGATTTGAATCTGGACAAATTTGTTGTTATTCCCTTCTTCTCACAAGAAATTCAGGAAGTAGCTAAGGGCGACATAGCATTAACAGTGACAATACAGGAAGGTCAAACGGAATAACGAAAAGAGCGCTGTCCCGTCTGCTATTAGAACAGGATTGGGGGATAAAATTGGCGTGACAATAAGAGGCTTCGCTTCTCAAACTACGAAAAGGGACAGCTCATGCCGAGACTTCTACGTGAAATTCAGCACGAAAATTCAACCCTTTTCATAGCGGATTTTATGATTAAGTTAGTCCTAATCCGCAGTACAGCGATCCTTTATTCTAAAGAGACGATGTCGTTATAAGCAGCAGCTTATCAGGTTATTTTTGGATCGTGCTTCTTCAGAGTCCATATGTTTATATGTTGATCTTTTATATTATGCTTGTAGATCTTAGTTGATCGGTTCTGACCTGTGCTGTCTTGTTCACTAATCCACTGGATAATCCGCCAAGTATGGCTTAACTGCCATTATTCTAATTAATCCGCCCACGCGTGTCTCACCTCATTGCTTTGATCTCTCAGTAAGTTTAGTTGGCATGGTTAGTATAAACCAGTAAACAAATTACCATTTAAGTCTACCTGGGAAATCTTGCAGGCCCGAATGAGGGTTATATAGTTTTGGTTGAATTTATCAGTTCTCTTAACAATGACAATTTCATGTCAACTTTCATGAAAGCTATCAAACAACATACATGATCATGTACATGTAAGATGTTGTCCGGATGAACTGACAAATTCTCGTAACTAGAAACTCACTAAACTTATGGCAGTCAGTAGAAGGTTTCCGATTTAAGCTTTTCAAACACGATTTTTTTTTGAAACTGCCATGTTTAATTATTAAAAACAGCCTTAATAGAGATACACACCCAAGAATCAGTATCAACACTCCTTGTCGCTGCAACTATTCTGTTCACATCAGTGTCTTCACATGCCATAAGCCCATCAGGTCGCAGTCGATACACTTTGTGACAGCCATAGCCATTCTGATTGGCTTGTGCAGTAAGCACATCTGAGGGGCTTGGTAAAGCTCCTTCTTCAACAAGACGGTGGTCACCAGTTTGCCTCGCTGTATGAAAACATAACTTTTAGTACAACGAACATACAGTTACATGTCCAGTCGTTTGCTCTCTCCTTACTTCACTGGTATTTAATTTTACAATGCAGGAACCCAAGTTGCATTGGAAAGATTTCTCAGTGAAAGCATGCAATTACTAATCTACAAAACGCACATGTCCACTGTTCATGTACATTGTAAGATATTCACTTCTGGGATCATTTTTTTTTAATCTATCTATTTTGAAAGGTACATCTGCCAGGATCAGAAACAGCTTTTGGGTATGTTTTTTGCACATCAATCATGATTTTCATAGTCTGTGCACAGAAGTTTAATTTTGAGCACGTGAGGGATGCAAGGGCACGAGATTGACACCCCCTTGTATTCAGGCTTTTAAAAATTCCCTGCGGTTAATGCTTTCATGTGATCTCAACAAACACAGGGTAATACATGTGCATGTGATAAGAAATCCAAACAGATATCACACTAGTAAAATTTGCTGCACAGTAAATTTTGTGAAGTTGGTCCAAATTCAAGTGTAGCTGTTGCAGGTTAACTTTACCCTTGGTGCAAATTGGTATTTTCCCTTGTTTTTGTGTAATGGTAACACGTAATTATTTACTATATGGCTAACTCCATGAGCTGGCAAGATGACCCATATGCTGCACTGTGATGGCTACCTGAGTAGGTAAGATGGCACTTTCTTGCCCACTCAATCACACGTGTGTGTACCTGCTGTGGGCTGCAATAAAATTTTGTTCTTTTCCATATAATAAATCCTTTACTGACCAAGCTTGTTTAATCAAGATGGCTGGATATTGGGTGCTTATGGACCTCAACTACTTCTTGGTCCATAAACATGCAAAAATCCAGCCATCTTCAGTTGACTGAACAAGCTTGGTCAATAACCCAAATTTATATGAAACAAAGGAAGATACAAAATTGTGCCAATGGTGCTAAGGGCTGTCATTAAGGGTCCTAACATGTAACATCTGTACTTATGCTTGATTTTTCCTTGATGCTATGGGAGAAATTGCTTGTTGTTGATACAATTCACCCACCGAGTAACAAGTTTGCTATGGGTGTGGAGAACAAGGCTACTTGTGACTCAAAACTTAATGACAGCCCTGGTACCTGCTGAACCACAACATAGCCAACCCTTGCCTTGGGCTGTGTACCACCCATATATCTAAATTGGAGGTCAAAAATATCAGATTTTGAACACCTGGCTTCATTAGTGTATCTAAGTGTAATTTTCTGCCAAAATTATCTGAAATGTATCTGAAATAAACTTAGGCAAATCAACACTCCTGTCTGAATGCAAAAAAGATTTCCATGCACATCTCCAGTAGGACAATTTCTACACTCAGATTACAAAGATGATTTGTTTGGGAAAGCCTCTGATGGTGGAGAACACAACATAAGAGACCTCCACCAGAAGAGTCCAGTGAGCCAATAATTATGTCACCATATCCTGTACAGGTGCGTTCACAGGTTATACATACATAGTAACCAGACCTAAATCAACCATATACACTGTACATGTACTTACCAGCTGAAATGATAACATATTTTTCACCACTTTTGCCATTCAGTTTAGCTTCCCAATAAGCAACATACTTGTCTGGTAGATCCTTTCTAAAGATAGGCCTCAAACCCATTATGTCATCCTGACTTATAGCGTCTGATAGGGTGTAAATTTCCTCCTGTGCCTCCCATGATACATTGTTATTGTGCCATGATGTATTAGATAAAGTTGGAGGATGAGTAACCAAGATATAATCATCACCATAGTTCCAGCCCTTGTTTCTGTTTTTGTTACTGAAAGGTGGAAAATGTGAGTTGTCGTTATGAAACAAGGAGGCAATTGTTAGGTTAAAATGTGTGAGTGAGACAAATTTTATGACTTTGTGCACTTAACAATCTACAAAATTAATGTTTAAGATGCACCAGTTACATACCACTCATAATTTTAGGAAAACAGGATTTTTCGGGTAAACAATTCTTGCCAGATTATACAAGTATAAAGGACAATAAGTACTATAAATAGGACCTGTGTTATTTTATGCTATTGCCAACATCAAAAACTGAGCATGAAGAAGTTTGGGGAAGGGAATCCCTTAATCGAAACAGTCCCACCACAAAAGAACATGCAATGTGGAGTATGGAAATATGGAATGTACCCTTCATTCAGATGTTACTTTCTGGCTATTTAGTCACTGCTGTAAGTTCATCCATGTTTGTTTTTTGATGAACTTATGACACATGTTCTGGAGGGTATATTGTAGCCTCCACACAGGTGTATTAACTAACTAACTGACCATCAGTAAGCTATTCTTGACTACTGACCTTTGTGCAACCTGACTTTTGATTATAGGTAATTTGCATCTGGCTTAAACATTACAAAAAAATTTACAAAATTTGTGTACTTATGAAATCATTTTAAAACACTCTATTTGTAACAACTCAAGTAATTCTTCAAAAGTTGCTGTTTTATAAATGTCAACAAATACACCTTTTTGCAATGACAACTTTCATACTTTCAAAACAGTATTTAGGAACACTCAAAATGCATTGTCATCTGACATGGTGCCCAAAACATTGCTTCTTCTCTAATAGCTGTTCTGTTACTGCGATGATCATTCTTCACTTTCATCTACAACTGCAGTTCATATATGAATTATTTCATATATACTTNGCCCAAAACATTGCTTCTTCTCTAATAGCTGTTCCCTCACCTAGATATGATTGATACTATGCAAGTCCATAGCTGGTTAACCCTTGCAGGTGCATGCTACTAGATGGCTTGACCAAGTAGAAATGTTTGCTGCAGTACATGCAAATTGATTTTAAGAAATTGGCATGATGGGATGCACCATCTGCATCAATCACTAACAGTAATAATAGACATCTTCTCGAAGGACATTAGTACCTACAGGGAATGATAGCAGTACCAAGTTTTTAGCCAGATGGGCATCAGATGTCCAATTAATGGCCAATCTTGAAAAAAAGTATATAACATTTTATCGTAACTACATGTATAAGATGCCTCAATTTTTCCAGGCATTTAAATTTCACAACTGCATAAGTTGTGTATATCACTGCGATGATTAATCATGTCTTCATATCTTTCTCAGCAGTTCCAATATACGAGTATCTTTCACATATTCACTTGT